TAGTTTTTCATGCTCTAATCTTTCACGTTCCGCAAGTTTGATCACCAAATCATCTTCTCTTATAACAGGTTCTTCCACGACATCAGTTTCGACCACCTTATCCTCTCCTACATTAATAATTTTCCGAAACGTTTTCAATCTTATACATATCACAATTGAAGACAACAATGTAAACATGTCTCTCGTTTTTTAAAGTACTTCTATTTAGTCACTAACAATAAGTAACATAAAAATCAATAAGAATATATTTTTCCCGTGTTATTTACTTTCAACGGTCCATTGCGTTGCAAATTCTTTTTTAACTTTTATAATTTTCGAGAGATCCTCTTTTGGGATATCTACTACTTTATTTAGTGAGTCCTCGAGCCTTCCATCTGTCTCTTTAGGATGGCGATAATAATCCACATCACGTGCTAGCTTCTCCAAATCTGCATCAAATGCTGCATCAAATTCTGGTTTCTTTTCCAAATCGTCATACTGTCCAACCTCCAATCTTGTGCTTATTAATTTTTCATCGATAATGTCTAATCTTGGATCGCGAGGTTTATCGGCTACCGTTAGATCGATTAAATCGGTTTCCTTCGAAGGAAGATCTTTCTTCAAAAGCCATGGAGCTTCGGTGGCTGGAAGCTTCGTTGGTTATTTTGGTGCAGTAACATAGGCAAAAATGTTTCAAACAACAGGTAACATATTTAAGTTATACCTATTTTTTTTAATTGACTCTTCACCAGAGGACACCATGGCTCACATGCAGGCATTTAGATTGATTTCAAAAATCGTTTTTTAAGACTATAATTGATCTGCCAAAATTTACATAATCGTATTTTCGATCGAGAAATCGATCTTGTTTGACAGTTTGCTACCGTTATTAATGCTTGACAAATGATTTTCGTGTATTCAATTATCCTGTTGCTCTTTCTTTCTAGTTCAAGAAAGTATTTTTCACGAAAATGTATTCGACATCGCTGAAAGGAAATTGCATTTGTGAAATGAAATGTTTGGATGAAATATCTAACGTATCTAGTTCGGTTAGTTGCGTGATATCAACTTTGCATTGTTGTGATAGAGATTGTATGAAAGAGGAGAAAGTAAACATCACTATCGAAGAGGATGATCTATTACCTTCGAATTATCTTAGTAAAAACATTTTTGGATTATTAATACCTGCATTGGAAGAAACACTTATTGAAGCATCCAAACGGAATGTTCTTCGAGTATTGTAGAATTTTTTATTCGATTTGATAATTTGAATTTGAAATGTATCAATCCTTACAATTACATCTATGAGAAATTACCAATGAGTTATCACAGGTTCAGAAGTGTCGTTTTAACGGTCTCGATAATATCGCAGAAATTTTATGGAATCGTAATCCACGTCATTCAAAAATATATTCACCACCTCTAAGTGTATTTGATATACCGCCGTTTAAAGAATATTTACATTCACAGTAAACCAACAAATTTCAATACTTGTGTGTGAAAATTAATAATTTTCTGCATCCTTCATTTATTTCATTTTTAGTCCTAGATCTTATTTTCCAAAATCTTGGTTATGGTCTGAAGATGAAGCTGCATTGCATATACAAAGATATGTTCGTGGCTGGTTTGTAAGAAAACGTATGGATGTTCAAGAAATGAGGCAATTTTGGAAGGCTAGTAATTAAAATACTGATATGTATATCTTTATATTATTTCCCATTATTTATTCTAAAATTATAAGTTATATTACAATTAATTATTCTGCATATAATCCATAGGATATTGCAATTAAAAGTTTCTTTGGCGAAAAAGAGAATTGTATTGTTCAATCTCAAAGACTTTTAAGTACGTTCTATTTGGAATTTATGATAATAATAACATTTTATTTATTTGTAGGTGACGTTTTATAGTGATATTAATTCATTTTATTTATTTGTAGGTGATGTACAAGATAATGCAAAGCATGAAATAATTGATGAAGATTTGATTCGTTGTGAAAAGTATCGATTAATGGCACATGAAAGACGTATGTTGTAAAGATGTAAAAGTATATTAAAAAGTCCTAATTGAAAAATACTTAATCTTTATTGTTAAGTTATAAGATCAATGCATATTGAATCATATTCATGATGCATTCTCTTGTTTAATATTCTCATACAAACTAGGGCTTTCTGACTGTCCTAATCCTATTTTTATTTCAGTTGTAGGAGCTTCACCTTCTTCAGCAATTCTATAATTTTTAATACCCAGAGGACTATATACAAGTTTTAATTTTATATCGGACATATCTTTTCCTTGTTCTTGTGCCTCTTGTATTAATATCTCTTTCAAAAGAGGAGGAAAATTTGTTGTTCGTGGCATAATTCTTAGTTGTGGTACTTCAGTAGCATTTACATACTTTGCTTCTTGATCTTTTGGAACCAATATAAAATCTGGCTTATAGGTTGTTCCATCCATTTGTACTAGTACAGGAGACTTTTGACCTCTAAAAACTCTTTCTACTAATACCATCACTTTTCGTGGATCCTATAAGATGGAATTCTACTTTCAATAATTTGTTTATATTATTCCATTGATAAACATGAGAATAGAAAGTATTGTACATGCGGATGTTTTGAAGTATCTGGTAATCCAGCAACTTTCAGTATCTTCATGTAGGATATTTCAGGATACCTTTGTTGAGTACCTCGTATCACGAGTCTACCTACACCATAATTCTTCAAATTCCCTAATATTTCCCATAATGGTTTGCCTTTAAGGTAATGTGTCCGTCCAATATATTTTATTACCATGTTTTCTAGAATTGATATATTTTTATGTTTGATATAACAAACTAACCTCTTCTTCAACAGAGATGAGGTTAGGTTTACATATTCTATCGATGTTGCACTATATAGAGTTTAGGAATTATCACTGACTAAAGGACAAAATAGACTCGACACTATATGAGATACTACGTTTGAAATACCAATTTCGGAAAATGAGTATTTTTTAGGCTTTCTGCGGTTTATCTACATAAAAATTATATTTAATTCAAAAATTAGAAATAGCATTATTCTTATTATGAAATAATTAATATCGAACGATGATAGCATTGATTCATGTCTAGTCATGTTTATTCTTAAAAAAAAAATTTATTAAATTTTAACTTCAAATTAGTTTAAAAAATAAAATTTCAGACATGAAGTTATAAACGTAATTATTTTCCATTTTGCAGATGTACAGGCATAATTTACAGACTTTACAGATTTTTGTAAAAATTTAATGAACGAAAAGAATTAGGAGAAGGAAATTTTTATTTTTTCTTTCTCTAATACAATATATTTTCAAACTACATTTTCAAAATACGCGCGCAATAATTTTAAACTTTTGTAAAGATTACAGCGCCAATGAAGCAGTAAAATTTTGCAATTACGTATTGCGATTTTCCAACATAATCGATGTCTCGTATAATCGATCTAATCGATCTAATATTGGGATGTAACGTAAAACTGTCAGTTTTAAGCGGGAACACGACAAGAACGGTAGCAAGAAGCTGTTTCTCCAGAAATTGTTAAATAAAGACCACTGGTAAGACTTGTTTTTATATATATTTACACTTTAAAGCAGTAAGGATTATTTTAAAGAGTTATTATATATATGTATTCAATCATAACCGTGATTTGTTACTGACATTTCTCATCGGATTTAACGGTTTCCGTTTAATGATATTTGCAATGACTTCCCATGACTGGATCATGATTACGTACCAGTATTAAAAAAATGTGTTTCTAAATATTGGTATAAAATTACTTTGCGTGGTGTAAATTATTTTTTACAGGTCGTGGTGTAAATTATTTTTTACTGTTCGTTTTTGAAATTTCGAAGTCAAATTCATTTTCTTAAATGAAATAGTTATTTGTTAAGATGAATTTTCTTCGGCGAGACGTCTGAATTTTTAAAATTTTCGAGAAGAAAAATATTTTTACTTTTACACTTACTACATAATGTAAAAATAAATATCTTTTTAGACTACAATTTTTTTTAAAATTATAACAGTGTAAATTATTAACAATTTTTCATTTTTTAGTGTATGAATATATTTTCGTTCTTTTTTAAGAATTTCTCATGAATTTTGTGTATTTGATTTAGACCAGAATTTTTTAATTTTTATTTCAAGTTATCATTTCGTGCGATTACAGCGCTCCAACGGTGAAATACGCAATATACTTGCTACGATTCTCGAAATAATCGATATTTCTCATAATCGATTTTTAAACTGGGAGCATGGCGGAAGAAAAGCACGCTTTATCTGTAAAGAAGAAAGTGTTATCCAGAAAAATCATTCAGAAAGAAACATCATCCAGAAGTTCTCAGGTAAAAATTTAAATCAATAGTTATTAGATTTGTATTTATATTATGAATTTAACATAAAATGTACAGTTTTGACTTTAATTTAAGGTAAGGTTTAACCAAATAATTATTAT